TTCACAACAGTGGTTGTCAACTACTGGCCCTCCCATTGTTCTGAGTTTCAGCTTCCAGAAGCCCTAGGGCAGCATGGGCAAATGGTCAGGAATCCCGAAAGCTTTAAGCTTCAAGCATTACAATAAGGAGAGAACTACCACTTTATCCTACTAGATTTCATACTCCTTGCAAAATCCTCCAAAAACTGCAATTGTGCATGAAAACTAATGCTCTAAGGTAAAGGTTCCCCTTGACATTTAGTCCAGTCGTGTCTGACTCTAGGGGGCGGTGCTCATCCCTGTCTCCAAGCCGTAGAGCCAACATTTGTCCGTAAACAGTTTCTGTAGTCACGTGGCCAGTGTGACTAGACACTGAATGCCATTGCCTTCCCACCGTGGTGGTACCTATTTATCTACTCTCATTTACATGCTTTCGAACTGCTAGGCTGGCAGGAGCTGGGACAAGCGACAGGAGCTCACTCCATCGTGTGGATTCGATCTTATGACTGCTGGTCTGCTGACCTTGCAGCACAGAGGCTTCTGCGGTTTAGCCCGCAGCGCCACCACATGCCACTTAATGTTCTAAAAACAACTTGCAAATATATTAAAATGTGGAATATGTAGAACTGACTTTTGTACAAATAAGGGTTTGTTCCAAAGTAAATATGTAAACAGTTAATTACCTATGTTGAGAACAAGTCATCTCCTGCTGATCAAGTAAACTTCAGGAAATGACTCTTGACTACGTTGATCTCACATGTGAGTATCTGTTATGCAATGACTGTACTTGCATATTAGTCCCAAAAACCTTGAAACAGGATACCTAAGTTTTTCAAACTGCAGTCAAGACTCTAAACAGATTAAAAGTGTCTAAGACACTGAAACAGAAGTCCTGATTTAAGTCTTGTTTTCTGTACACCAATTCAACAATGGCAAGATGAGAGTCTGAAAAAGAGTTAAACCAGACTGCAGTTACAACTGCATCCACTGACGTTTGGTATTCAGTGAGGCCAGGGATGGGTGTGGCTGGCTTTAAGTGCAGCAGCAATCTGACCTAAAAAGCACATTTACTGGCCTTAGCCATATGAGACAGGAAAAGGAAGTATATGACACTTTCTGAACAAAAGGAGGATTCAGATTCACATGTTAGAGGCTGGTCAAGGCAGAACAACTACATGCAGCCTGAGGAAAAATGCAGCCTACATTTCTGAACACCAGAAATTTCAAAAATGTTCTCAAACTTAAGCTACTAGTGCAACAGCTATATGTTAAAACAAATACTTGCAATGGGCAGCTATGTCTGTTCCAGTAAAACATCAAACACCTGTGTGGCATCTTTAAAGCCAACATATTTACTACGGCACAAACTTTCATGGAACTTCCTCAGCAGCATGAAGAAGTCCAATTTCTACAGAGCAGCTATGTTAGTTACTGCAAACTATCAAAGAATCATTTGGTCTTTTTACAGCACAGCAGTTCCTATCTTTGGGTCCCAAGATGTTCTTGGACTAAAACTCCTAGAAGCCTTCACCACTAGTTGTACTGGACAGGATTTCTGGGAGCTGTAGTCCAATAACATCTGGACATTCAAGGCTGGGAATCACTGAACCAACGGATGTATTATGGCATGGGCATTTTGGGGCACACAGCCCAGTTCCTCAGATCCATAAATCTTTGAGGATATACTGTTCCTACGACTAGGGGATGGGGTGTTTATGACAAGGCTAGTATAAATTGACCTACAGAAAGTACTCACACAGGCAAATGTATGGAAAAAAAAAAAAACAGAAACCCCAGTCCTCAAAAAGGAAGCTGTCAACTTTTGGAAGAGACTACACTTCTAACATGACCGGCCATTCTGACAACATTTTGTGCAGCTAGCTACCTAGGAGACTGAAAGCACATTTATCTGATAGTCATATGGTTTGAGACAAGGAAATGGGCCTTCCAATCAAATCAGCATCTGGTTTCATAGGAAAGCTGAAATATCTGTCTCAGCCCTCCGGGTCAGGTTGTTCAAGCTGTTTCACAGCCTTCTGGGAAGCTGCCCTGGGATACAAATAACAAAGGGCAGGTCTGTTCTTGAAGCAATAATGAGTTCTCAACGGTTCAGATTTCCTGTCAGAAACACTGACAGGATTTGTTTTGCCCATCACCAATACTCTGCCCTTTAAAAAACAAAACAAAAAAACCTTATCACACCCCAAACTAGAACTGCAACACTAAAGCTATAAGACCTCCTCCTCAACAATCCTGGACACCTGAAACATAGCAAAGGAGAAGTTTACATAATGTACTACCCTCAATTTTTAAAGTATTATACATAGTGATGTGCTACAGAAAATCAAAACAAAGGTATTCAAGAAATAGCAGGTGTATTTTAGTCTGAGCTTTTATGAATGCTACAAACATATGGTTTAAATAACTCTGACATACTATATAAAAATAACTGCTATGGAAAGTTCTTTTGTGTCTGGCAAAGATTACTCGTACTCCTTGCCATAACTAGAAGTGAAACTGCTGGCAGGGTGAAGTCCTCTTTTATTGCACCCTCTTAATAAGAACATTAACATTCAATTGCCATAGTCTTGCAAAACATTCGACCTTAAAGCTTTGGGATGGGTTAATTTTCTTAATGTTTGTAACATTTTACTGGAGGCATCAAAATCCAGTAATAACAAATCCAACGTTTCCGCAAGACACAGGCTATAATTTTTTGGCAAATCTCCAGGGAAAGAGCTGCCAAGCTGAGCCAGAGGGTGTCAGAAGATAAACAATTTGCATCATTAATTCAGACTAGTTATCAGAAAGTTAAATAAAGTAGCATTCATCAGTGTGAGAGTTCACAATGATACTTGTCATTCAGGCTTCAGAGAAGCACTTCACCTGTCACAGAGCAAACCCAAATCCAAGTTGCTACCAGGTATATACCCCATAGAAAACCCAATTTCTTATTAAAAAACAACAAACGGCATCATGCCATGTACTTGCTGCATTTTCGAGACTAGTTCACACATTCACAGATTTAATCTTAACTGCAAAATTATAATTAGAGTCATCATACCATTGTTATTTACTTATGTAAAATATTTGTAGCCTGCTTTTCTTCTTAAAAGGACCCAAGGTGGCTTACATTATTAAAAGACAATATTAAAGCTAACAACAGTGAGTATACACATTTTTAAAAGGGTCAAAGATATACAATGCAAAAATCATAAGCAATGCCAAAACACATTCAAAGGAGTAAGGTACAACAATCCATTTAAAACCCCCACTCAGGCAGCCAGTCACTCCAGGAAAACATGCTTGAAAAGAAATGTCTTCTGCTTGCAGAAGGACAGCAAAGATAGACTATCACTATTATTATGTGGTGTCAATTCTGCCTTATACAGACCTTATACAGATCTATACACATTCCCTTCTCCTGGGGGTGCTCTGGAATTGCGTAGCTTGCCCAAGGCTGGCTCTTTGCCAGATACCCAATGCCATCATACAATTAGGGATATCCTGGTCAGCTAACCAAACCTGCTTGCCAGCCAAACGAAAGAAGTGAGCATTAAGAAGAAGTCACCTTTTCTATCATGTCACAGACCCATCAACAAGGGAAGGCAGGTATCAAAAAAAAACGCAGTGTGGTTGTAGCGGCTACATCTGAACTGCAATATAGAAAAATGTAGATTTAAGGCCCCCATTCAACCATGAAGCTCACCTTGGTTTAGCAAGTTACCCTTCCTATAACCTCCATCTTCAAATCTACTGACACTGGGATTATTCCCATGATTTTACTTATTTATTAGAGCTTTGGGGGGCTGACAATGGTGGCCTCCAAAACTTTTAGTGCAATGTTTTATTGTTTTTAATGTTGAATTAAAATATCTTATATTTTAAATTTGTTTTATACATCCTTGTAATTCACCCTGATAGCTTGTGATATAGGTTGGTTGATCTCTCTCTCTCCCTCTCTCTCTCTCTCTCTATATATATATATACATACACACACACACACACACACAAAACTGTTTAAGCAAAATAAATTAATAAATACAGTAAGCAGAAAGTGAGCCAGATGAGACATCGTAATCTCAGGACAGACAACATAGAATTAAAGTACAAAAATACTACTTTGCAGTTAAAACTTTACAGAAAGTGTATGTGCATGTACAAGTTGCAGTTTACATGAAAGTAACGAATCCACTGGTTTAAGACATTCAAAATGAAACCCAGACTGTGAAACTTGTTTCTGGTATTCCTGGAGGCAAACTACACTGTACATTTTTACTAACCTTTAAAAACAATGAAACATTAATTTCTCTTAAATTTCAAACAGCTTACTAAACTTCCATTTTAAATATTTTTTTTAAAAAAGAGGGTTGAATTATACCTAAACGGAAACACAGGTAAGTGTGATGATTTCCCAAAAATCAGACGAAGGATGAGCCCAAAAAGTTTGGGAACCACTGAATCAGACTAATTTTTAATTAACTAAAAAAAAAATCAAAATCCAAGACCAGCATTTCCTTCTCTAAAATATATCGTTACTTAAAGGTCGGTAACCTCCACCTTCCTATCTACAACCCAAGTTAAAAACGCCACCTTGTCAAATCAACTACCAAGATTAAAAAGAAGATAAATAAAAACTCCACTGACAGGAAGACTCTGTGCAGGGCAGATCGCGTGATGTCGGGGAAAACCTTCCCCTGCCCTCCCGGCCCCTGTCTTGCCCGTTCACACGTTCGTCCGACACCGCTCGTGAAATGCGCAACAATGCAAGGTGGCGCGAATAAAAAAAAAAGGACGTGGGAACCAGGGCCTTCTTTACTTCTCGGGCTGGGCGAAGAAACTCCCCCCCCCTCCATTTCATGAGGCAGA